TGGTCCCATGACAATATTGTCATAGTAGTCTAAAACCTTGAAGGGACAGTAAAGACAAGATGGTCTTAAACTCTACTGTTGGTCCCATGACAATGTTGCCATAGCAGACTAAGATCTTGAAGGGACACTAGAGACAAAATGGTCTTAATCTCTAGTGTTGGTCCCATGACAATATTGTCATAGTAGTCTAAAACCTTGAAGGGACAGTAAAGACAAGATGGTCTTAAACTCTACTGTTGGTCCCATGACAATGTTGCCATGGCAGACTAAGACCTTGAAGGAATACTAGAGACAAGATGGTCTTAAACTCTACTGTTGGTCCCATGACAATGTTGCCATAGTAAATATAATTTATAATTTTGACTTGTGCTTTATTTAATTTTTTATTCATCCAACTCAGGTTGGGAAAAAAAACCTTAAGAAAATATTTCTCTGTACCAACACAGGTCAGCTAACTTTGGCATGTCTATTAATCAATGTTGTCATTACATTACATCCAGCTTTACTTGACATTCTAGCATATCCACAGGAGTTTCGAAGGTCATACCTCAATGCCGATGTCAACGAGTGTAATCAAATGTTACAAAACTGTTCAGTGAAATACCACCTTGAAAATAAGATAAAGTACAGAGCAGCAAGCACTTAATAATCATTTTCAATAATACTTTTTGTTCACCTGATAAATTGTTTGTATTTTCTCAAAGTTTCAGGTCAATATGTCTAAATGTCAATGAAATCATATTGGAAAATATTCATTTTGAGATTACTTCTATGTTTATTAATTCAAGTTGTTTTACAAGTACTATATATACAAGGTAGTTGTGTTTTACAATTATTGAACTCTTTGAAGTGTTGCATTTACATAATGCAGATATAGTACACAAGTATTTTATGTTTTTACCTCAGTTAACAGTCTCGATCTGTCGTGTAGATTGTTTCAAAACGTATTTAATAAATGTAAAGATATTATTTATTAATAATCTAGTATGTCATAAAAACAGACAATGTGTTCATCACAAAGCAACGTTGTAGACTTGTAAATAACATTAAAAGTACTGTAAACATATATTACAACTTCTGGTAACAGTTCAAGATTCAGTATTAAAGTTACTTTATAAAATACTTTATAAGTAATAAAACTGTCAATTAAAACAGACACACACACACTATTTTCCCACACATCATGAGAGAATAACACAATACTTGGATAAGGATATCAAACAATATTAATACACCAAAAATATATATATAGAAAATCGGAAAGTTGTTGCTATACGGAAAAAATATTCAATATCAAACACAAGAATTTTTCTTAATTCTGTTGTGAATATGATAAGTTTGGTACAATTAAGTAATCTGGAAGATGCTGTGCAAAGGTAATCTGGAAGATGCTGTGTAAAGGTAATATTGAAGATGCTGTGTAGAGGTAATCTGGAAGATGCTGTGTAGAGGTAATCTGGAAGATGCTGTGCAAAGGTAATATGGAAGATGCTGTGTAAAGGTAATCTGGAAGATGCTGTGTAAAGATAATATTGAAGATGCTGTGTAAAGGTAATCTGGATGATGCTGTGTAAAGGTAATATTGAAGATGCTGTGTAAAGGTAATCTAGATGATGCTGTGTAAAGGTAATCTAGATGATGCTGTGTAAAGGTAATCTGGAAGATGCTGTGTAAAGGTAATATTG